TCAGATAAAACAATGTAATCTAATATACCCAAATAATAACAGTAAAATCGACTATAAAATAATAAAATTGACTAGATATAATATTTATAAAATAATATGTGTAATTAAAGTAAAATAATCTTATTAATATAAATCATGTATGCAAATTATAAATTAATTGAAAATTAAAAGTAAATAGTAATCAATTATTATAGTATATTTACTTAATAAATATTTATACCCGTGCATGAGCACGGGAAAATCACCTAGTATATATATACATATATATATATATATATAATGTTGTTGTTAAAAAAAATCAAACTCATATATTTACAGAAAAAATTTAAAATAATAATTTTAAAAAATTAAGTAATTAGTTTTTAGATAATGTTATCATTTTTTAAAAAAAAATTAATGATAAAATCCTTCAACTATGTTTACTTAATATGGGGGTTTACTTGTTAGTTTGGGGCTTTTACCCAAAACAAACTTAGTTGAGGTATTTTAGAGTTAAAAATCCATTTTAAAAGGATAAAAATCACTCATATATTTACAGAAATTTTTAAAATGCTAGTTCTGAAAATTAAAATTATGAATTTTTAGATAATCTTATTATATTTTGATTTTTTTTTTATGTTTAATGATAAAACCCCTAAACTAAATATTTACCGGTAATACTGGTAATTATGACCGGCGAGTGTTTAATTCATTAAATAAAGTTAGTTTGAGGGCTTTTTTGTTAAATACTCAGTTTAGGGGTTTTTACCCAAAACTAACTTAGTTGAGGGGTTGTTATGTTAAAAATCCTTGTTATTATACAATCTTTCTATCTTTCATTTTTTCATCTACATATCTCTCTTACCAATCTTTATATTTATCTCCCTTCATCATTTCATCTCTATTAGTATATCTTTTTTCTTTCTTTTTCTTTTTGTTTCTCTTTCACTCTCTAATATGTAATGTTCAAATAACATAATGTTGTATTCTATTCTTTTTACGACCGTAGAATAGAATTGTAATTATACATTCACTTGCTCTCTTCTCCTCCCTCCATCATTCCCCATCCCTCTCCCTCCCTCCCTCCCTCCCTCCCTCCCTCTCTCTCTCTCTTTCATATATACTTCCACAAACAGTTTTATATTAGATATTGTTTAAAGGGTGAATTTGATCAATATTCATAGGAGATAACAAAATAAAGAATATAACCATAGCATAGTTGATGTGACAATTAGTGTCAAAAGTGGACTTTTTCTCCTTTATTCGTTTTATTCATGTGTGCGTGAGATGGTGAAAGTGAAACATTACTAATATAACACTTTGCATACTTCACAGTATATAACGTTGTTAGAATTATACTATATGATAACTTACATGGTATAGTACGACATGCACAAAAAATATTGAAATTTACGCTGATAGAATGATTTACATATATTAGTAAAAGTTAACATAAATAACAGAATCAGCCTATCGGATATAAAAATGTGGCATGGGTCTATCGGATATGAAAATATATTATTTTTAGGTAGGTGAAACATAAAATAAAACTTAGAAACGTACATAGCTCCCGGTTGTTGGTAAACAAACTGCATTGTATGGAATTTGCAAACTATTCTACAGTAAGCAAAAAATAGTATAGGAATCATTTCACACAAATTACATAATCAGTCATGGAATCTGAAAGACAACTCTTATATCAATATAAACTAACTATTGTATACATAACATCTGAAAGGCAACTCTTATGGCAAAACACTATACTATTGTATATATAATATAGTATGATTAGCTGAGAAACAAATGAATGTCCGCTAGGGTCCATATGGTTCTAATTTCATAAATGTGTTGCAAAAGAAGGGATAAAAAATGGAGGCTAAACCCTAAACCATAAACCCTAATCCGAGACCATAAACCGAAACCTTAAAGAAACTATATGAACATTAACGTTGTCAGCTAAACCCTAATGTCGATGTCAAAGTTTAGATTTATGATCGAGGATTTAAAATGTAACCCAAATGTCAATGTCGAAGTTCATCTTAACCCTAATGTCGATGTCAAAGTTTAGATTTATGGTTTAGAATTAAAATAAAACGTTTAAAAGCCAATTCTAAGAAATTATACTATTATATATATAATATAGTATGATTAGCTGAGAAAGATATATGATGTCTGATG